ACATCACTAGGCACATGTGTTTCCCAGATGGAGGAACCTATATCACTAGGGATATGTGTTTCCCAGCTAGGGAAACACATATAACTAGGGATATGTGTTTCCCAGGTGGAAACACATATCACTAGGGATATGTGTTTCCCAAGTGGGGTAACACATATCACTAGGGATATGCGTTTCCCAGGTAGGGGAACACATATCACTAGGGATATGTGCTTCCCAGGTGGGGAAACACATATCACTAGGTATATGTGTTTCCCCAGTGGGGGAACACATATCACTAGGGATATGTGTTTCCCAGGTGAAGAAACACATATCACTAGGGATGTGTGTTTCCCAGGTAGGGGAACACATATCACTAGGGATATTTGTTTGCGAGGTAGGGGAACACATTTCACTAGGGATATGTGTTTCCCAGGTGGGGAAACACATATCACTAGGGATATGTGTTTCCCAAGTGGGGGAACACATATCACTAGGGATATGTGTTTCCCAGATGGGAAACACATATGACTAGGGATATGTGTTTCCCAGGTGAGGGAACACATATCACTAGGGATATGTGTTTTTCAGGTGGGGAACACATATCACTAGGGATATGTGCTTCCTGACCTGGGAAACACATATCACTAGGGATATGTGTTTCCCAGGTGAGGGAACACATACCAATAGGGATATGTGTTTTCCAGGTGAGGGAACACATATCACTAGGGATATGTGTTTCCCAGGGAGGGGAACACATCACTAGGGATATGTGTTTCCCAGGTAGGGGACACATCACATATCACTAGAGATACGTGTTTCTTAGGTGGGAGAACACATATCACTAGGGATGTGTGTTTCCCAGGTAGGGTAACAGATATCACTAGGGATATGTGTTTCCCAGGTGGGAATTAAATAATTAAAGTAGCCGGTGATAGCGCTGGTTGTCGGCGCATTTTGACAAGCCTGGAGGGGGAGAATATCAACCCTGAAAAACGGAATAACATCCCTGAAAATGGGAGGTACCCCTTCCTAAAAGTCAACTTTAACAGTTCTTGTTTAGTGCAAAATTGTGACCTATGGGAGGGGTAGGTGGTCAGTTACCCAGAAACCTTAAGTGATGTGATAAATAATGAGGTGACCTAGGGTGAGAATAGCAACCTTGAAAATTGGAGGTGCAGTAGGAGTAAGATTGAGGTAATGGCAGAGGGCTGGATCAGCTGAAAAAGAGACAATTTTGGGGGAGAAAATTTGAGTAAAATGCAGTATTTTGAGACCTGTTGTGTTAAACTTTTAAATAAAAAATGTCCCCTTATAAAAGATCTGTAGTCTTAGATAATAATAAATTTGTCTTATTTGATGGTTTCAGGTACCGACCTATCACACTGTTTGAAATAGCCATCCCTCCTCCCATGATCTCAGTCAAAGATATGACAAGAGATGCCAGCTTTTGGATAAATGATTTGAGGGCCATGGCAACTAGGTAAAACATTCATTTTTAGACTCAATAGTAGCCTGTGAGCAAGGAGAGCTTGGAACTGTGTCTCTGGAATTTGAATATCTGCACTAAAAAAGTCAATGGGAAATGTTGATTGGTGAAGATGACATTATCAATGATCTTTCACGTTTTTCAGTGTTTGTTTACATTCGCGCTCGTTTCCACTTCACGCTGGCGGGTGAAAATCTGACAGCTCTGTCGACATGGAGCCATACGGGAATTACAGGTGGAATTCAAATTCGAGAGACATGGTTGCAAGCTCTCCTTCCTTTCCAGAGTGCCCTGGAGAGCTTGCTCGCGGGCTAACTCAGTAGTGTTTTATTTGACCAAAGCATTACCTTATACAATTTAGCTATACAAAAATTCAGACGAACAAGTTGAAATTAACATCAGCAAACTATCATTTTGTTTGACTTTTGTCATTAAAATGTTATGTTTGTCTGACTTTTGTTATTTAATGGCAAAAATCAGACAAACATAGCTATCACTCACTTTGATGTCATTTGCGTGCTGTTCTATTAGTTATTCAGTGGTGCACTATCTTTGTGCTTAGAGGTAAAGTGATGGTGAATTCTTGATTTTTTTTTCGTCAGAGGAGAAACAGTGTTTGCTGCATTTTATGACCGCCTTGAGTCCTTGAAGGATTTTTCAATCCAACCTGATCACCAAGCAAGAATGAAGCAGTTTTATGTGGCCCTGAGAGTAAGAACTTAATATTCAGATATATTGTTCTTTTGTGTTGTTAGTATCATCGGTAGAAACATCAACATAATTATAACGTAGCCTGCATAACAAGTATTAAAAAGGGGAAGGGGGTGTCTACTTATAGCAGGTATGAAAAGTGGAGAGACAGTGAGGAGACAGATTGTCAATTTTAACAGGGCTCTGCTTTAAAGAAATCTTATGTGGAAAATATAAAATGACAGTCAGTTATATGAGCTCACTGCATGTTTTCTCTTTAGCATTTTGTTTAATTGCAAACGTTTTCAGAATCTTTATTGCTCTCTCTTCCTTCCTCAGAAGCTGTTAATCTTTGTTCTAATAATATTCCTCTTTGTTCTTATTCAATAATTTTAGGACGAACATTCTCGATTTTTGGAACAGTGTGAAATTGTGGAAAAGAAAGCAAACAGTCTGCAAACTCCTCAAAACCCCTTGGCTATGGAGAATGAGAACTCTTGTGAGCCTTTAGGTCCTGATGATAGACAGGCGTTGGAATACGTGATCGCAAACAGCTTGAACAGTCTTAAGAAAACTCTCTGCGAAGTTGTTGAGGGCTGGAATAACAGGTGATACTACTTCTTTGATATAGATATCTCTCAAATGTGAAAAGCAACTGATGTACAGTTGAAGCTCTATCAAGTGGCAACCCTTCGGGAAACGACAGGTGGCAACTCAATATAAGTTGGCCATTCAACAATAGAGTTTCTTTTCTGTTTACAGAGTGATTAACTGGCTGCTGAATGGTGCATGTAAAAAGGCTTACCTGGTAGTCATTCTTTATCACAGTATACTTAACTTTTTTCTAACCCCCTGTGCTCTAACTTGATAACTGCCATTTTATATTTTTCTATATATATATGAAAACCTCTGAATTATTTGTAAAAGCCTACAGGAATATGTCCAAGCAGAAAAGAAGAAAAACAGCAAAGCTTCTTCTACCAAAGAAGGAAAGTTACTCTCTTCTTCTTCACTGCAACTTGAGGGAAAATCCACGGAGTCTCTTAACGTATGTGGATTTTTTGCTTAATAGAATTAAATAAATTATTTTGTTGGGAGTCAATTTAATAGTGAAGAATGATTTTCTCTGTTTGAAATGGTTTTTACAACTTCTTTTTAAGCCTTTAACATGCATATTCTCTGCACTGTCTTCTAAGCAGGTGATAAGTAGAATTGGTATAGTAATCAACTGATCTTTTCTTTTGTTCTCACTCCCTTTGTTCTTGTCACAACTAAGTTAAAAACTGTTTTTTTTAAATCAAAATGTAGACTTTTGTGACCCTTTTTGAAGGCGTACCGAAAGATGGCTTGGTTCTTTTAGATAAAGGAGAGGAAAGAAAAATGGCGAGGAAAAAAAAGCGAGCAATGTTCTTTCCCTCCATTTTTCATATCGCTCCCATTTTGTGGCTGTAATGTTTAGATTAATTTTCTCTTTTCGTTTTTGCTTTCAGCAGCAACTGAATAAACCCACAGACATGGTATTAGGGGTGAGTATGAATTCTACAGAAAATCGGAGCCCGTCACTTACTCCCTGGGGATCAAGGTCAGCATCTCCTTACCTCACCCCTGACACAAATGAACCCGCAGGTGAAGCATTTAGCAGTTCCGACATGGAAGTACTTCAAGTTACAAGCAGTTTTCGACCCATTACACATGTAGCGATGAATGTGGCGACACCTTCTGACTCCCCCACACAAGGAATTCTGCCTGTCGGAGGAGTGGTCAGTGGCCATTCCTTCCTGCCAGGTCTTAAAAGTGACCATTTTGCAAGGGTAAAACTTCAGAAAAATGCTGGTGGCTCTTATAAAGCCTTTGTTGTCTCTGGGCCTTGCGGTGAAGAAGTGCCATTTGTGACTAAAAAAGATAAAGAATGTTCTGGAGTTACAGTGGATGGTGAAAAGGAGCCTTATGGGGCTGGGGTGGATATTGCAGTGGTGTCTGCTGGTGCTAAGGAAGGTGATGCAAAGGGACCTCCTGAGGTAAAGATGGGTGGTGCTAAGGATCCTCCTGGCGTTAATTTGGATTGTGCAAATGAACCTCCTGGTGTAAAGATGGATAGTGAGAAGAACTCTTCTGGGGTAAAGATGGATGATGAGAAGGAACCCCCTGAGTTAAGGTTGGATGGTGCAGAGGAAACCACTGATCGGGACATTGTGAAGAAGAAAGAGGAGGAGAGGTCTTCTTGGTACGTCATTGAAGGAGAAAATCAAGATTCTAGTATTTTGGACGATGTCAGAGACACAAAAGGCCAGCAGAGTGTAAGTCGGGATCATTTCTGCCCCTCGGCGGAAACAAAATTAAAAGAAGCAGCTGTAAAATCCCAAGAGGATGCTCCTACTGTGGTAAAAGCAAATGCCTTTTCACTTGGACATCGAAGGGTTGTTTCATCCCCTTCAATGATTGCAGTCTCTCCACCTGAGAGCAATCTGTTGGGTGTGGTCAGTGACGTGAGTGGTGGTGCCCACCTGCAACGAAGTAGAAGTGACTCTGAGTTAAGTGCTCATGTAAAGCAACGTGGGACGCAGGTTTGTAAAAAATAACTTCTTAATAACATATATGTAGAATGAAGATAAAGACAAAGTAGTTGGCAAAAGTACCTCAACAGACTAAAAGAATGAGTGTGGATAACTACCTATAGCGATTCAATTCAATTCTCTGCCATCCAATGTTAAATGCTGTGATAATTTTAAATCCTTCAGTAAGGAAACATTATGTATTTTAAGGGAGCGCTGCCGGAATAGGGCCCAATAATTTCTTGCATAGTTTTAAATAATGTATATATTGTATTAATTATTTTTACTTTTTATTACCTAGCTTTTTTTTACAAATTCATAATTCAGATTTATGTATTTTTTTTCCTTTTAAATTCCTTATTTTAATCTTATATCAGGCGAAGAGCCATACCATGGATGTCAGGTGATACTACTTCTTTGATATAGATATCTCTCAAATGTGAAAAGCAACTGATGTACAGTTGAAGCTCTATCAAGTGGCAACCCTTCGGGAAACGACAGGTGGCAACTCAATATAAGTTGGCCATTCAACAATAGAGTTTCTTTTCTGTTTACAGAGTGATTAACTGGCTGCTGAATGGTGCATGTAAAAAGGCTTACCTGGTAGTCATTCTTTATCACAGTATACTTAACTTTTTTCTAACCCCCTGTGCTCTAACTTGATAACTGCCATTTTATATTTTTCTATATATATATGAAAACCTCTGAATTATTTGTAAAAGCCTACAGGAATATGTCCAAGCAGAAAAGAAGAAAAACAGCAAAGCTTCTTCTACCAAAGAAGGAAAGTTACTCTCTTCTTCTTCACTGCAACTTGAGGGAAAATCCACGGAGTCTCTTAACGTATGTGGATTTTTTGCTTAATAGAATTAAATAAATTATTTTGTTGGGAGTCAATTTAATAGTGAAGAATGATTTTCTCTGTTTGAAATGGTTTTTACAACTTCTTTTTAAGCCTTTAACATGCATATTCTCTGCACTGTCTTCTAAGCAGGTGATAAGTAGAATTGGTATAGTAATCAACTGATCTTTTCTTTTGTTCTCACTCCCTTTGTTCTTGTCACAACTAAGTTAAAAACTGTTTTTTTTAAATCAAAATGTAGACTTTTGTGACCCTTTTTGAAGGCGTACCGAAAGATGGCTTGGTTCTTTTAGATAAAGGAGAGGAAAGAAAAATGGCGAGGAAAAAAAAGCGAGCAATGTTCTTTCCCTCCATTTTTCATATCGCTCCCATTTTGTGGCTGTAATGTTTAGATTAATTTTCTCTTTTCGTTTTTGCTTTCAGCAGCAACTGAATAAACCCACAGACATGGTATTAGGGGTGAGTATGAATTCTACAGAAAATCGGAGCCCGTCACTTACTCCCTGGGGATCAAGGTCAGCATCTCCTTACCTCACCCCTGACACAAATGAACCCGCAGGTGAAGCATTTAGCAGTTCCGACATGGAAGTACTTCAAGTTACAAGCAGTTTTCGACCCATTACACATGTAGCGATGAATGTGGCGACACCTTCTGACTCCCCCACACAAGGAATTCTGCCTGTCGGAGGAGTGGTCAGTGGCCATTCCTTCCTGCCAGGTCTTAAAAGTGACCATTTTGCAAGGGTAAAACTTCAGAAAAATGCTGGTGGCTCTTATAAAGCCTTTGTTGTCTCTGGGCCTTGCGGTGAAGAAGTGCCATTTGTGACTAAAAAAGATAAAGAATGTTCTGGAGTTACAGTGGATGGTGAAAAGGAGCCTTATGGGGCTGGGGTGGATATTGCAGTGGTGTCTGCTGGTGCTAAGGAAGGTGATGCAAAGGGACCTCCTGAGGTAAAGATGGGTGGTGCTAAGGATCCTCCTGGCGTTAATTTGGATTGTGCAAATGAACCTCCTGGTGTAAAGATGGATAGTGAGAAGAACTCTTCTGGGGTAAAGATGGATGATGAGAAGGAACCCCCTGAGTTAAGGTTGGATGGTGCAGAGGAAACCACTGATCGGGACATTGTGAAGAAGAAAGAGGAGGAGAGGTCTTCTTGGTACGTCATTGAAGGAGAAAATCAAGATTCTAGTATTTTGGACGATGTCAGAGACACAAAAGGCCAGCAGAGTGTAAGTCGGGATCATTTCTGCCCCTCGGCGGAAACAAAATTAAAAGAAGCAGCTGTAAAATCCCAAGAGGATGCTCCTACTGTGGTAAAAGCAAATGCCTTTTCACTTGGACATCGAAGGGTTGTTTCATCCCCTTCAATGATTGCAGTCTCTCCACCTGAGAGCAATCTGTTGGGTGTGGTCAGTGACGTGAGTGGTGGTGCCCACCTGCAACGAAGTAGAAGTGACTCTGAGTTAAGTGCTCATGTAAAGCAACGTGGGACGCAGGTTTGTAAAAAATAACTTCTTAATAACATATATGTAGAATGAAGATAAAGACAAAGTAGTTGGCAAAAGTACCTCAACAGACTAAAAGAATGAGTGTGGATAACTACCTATAGCGATTCAATTCAATTCTCTGCCATCCAATGTTAAATGCTGTGATAATTTTAAATCCTTCAGTAAGGAAACATTATGTATTTTAAGGGAGCGCTGCCGGAATAGGGCCCAATAATTTCTTGCATAGTTTTAAATAATGTATATATTGTATTAATTATTTTTACTTTTTATTACCTAGCTTTTTTTTACAAATTCATAATTCAGATTTATGTATTTTTTTTCCTTTTAAATTCCTTATTTTAATCTTATATCAGGCGAAGAGCCATACCATGGATGTACTGATATTAAACCGTTATTATTATTATTATTATTATTATTATTATTTAACTGATTGACAGCTATAAGTGCTTAATACGGGTTATCCAAAACCTAAGGACTAGGCTATAACCGTATCACAAACTAGGAAAAACGAGTTGTTAAAGCAAACTGCCCTGATTGTTATCGAAACGTTTTCTACAAATTTTCTATTGGCAACTTGCTTCCTAGACTTGCCGTTTCGTTATTGATAACGTTTTTTACTGAATAGTAGTTATTAGTGACAAACTGTTTCATCCATTAAGGCCCTGCTATTGTATGAGATCTAGTCTTTTCAGCGATTAGGGATTGCAGCACAGTTGCTTGAGTTAGGCAGATTAACACATCTCATTCGTCTAAAATTTATGCTGGTATGTGTTGCTAGATGTTAATGGAAACCACCTTTGAAAGTGTCGGTGAGGGCAGCGTTGATTTAACTCGCCAAAAAGAAACTGTGTCTGATGCTGATGAACTGGATGGCGGCTCAAACGAAGAACCTGAGCTCAGGAAAGCGAAGACGCTGCCATCGTTATTTTCCAAGAGTGAGTCAGTGATAGTTGATATTACACTAGTTGAAAGAATTTTTAGTTCAGAAAAGCAACGATGGGTGGGAAATCTGTGAAGGTAAAGTTCTACATGCAGTGGTTGGTGCATTGCACTTGAGAACTGAGGGTTAGCGGTTTAAGGGTTGGGCATGCCACCAGGGTATTTTGGGGAGTTTTAGGAACCAGTATAGCGATGTCGGCGAGAACGTCAGAAAAAAAGTAGGAGTCATAAGCAAATCAATTCCTCTGTCTGTTGGTTTTACCATTTTCTACATATCTTTGGCGTCCTGTTCAGCTACCCTTAAGGTACCAGCTTTAGTAACTGACACTTTTTGTGTTTCCTGAGGGTCTCCGCTTATGGGATTGTCGCCTCTAACTTGATTTAGTATTGTTTGTTCATTTTCTTTTGTTGTACTACCTATCACATTAATGGCAGATGATGTTTTACCATGGCGCCATCCTCATACATTAATATTTTACTTCAACAGTCAATTCATTTCTGCGTCTTACCTTTTTAACTCTTGATAAAGAAGCGCTGTTTTTATTTGATTTGTACGTCTTTAATACTCCTTCGTTACTTTACCAAATTTATCATTGACGGTGCTAATATCTTAATCTCTTTATGCTCGCATTCTTTAATGATGTAGTATGTATCTAGGTCATTAGGGTAACAATTAATCGAGGTTACTCTCTAGCGACTTGGGCAAGGACTGGATAACAATGGTTAATGATTAGTTGATTACATATATACAGCGATATTACACAGCGCATGAATGGAAACATTGCTAAACATAAATCTAACGAGCTGATGGAATAACAGCAAACAGCCAGTCAATTAATGATGTAGGAAAGTGATTAATATGATAACCATACTTTCCAATTTATCTTTATCATCTGACGTCTTCGTTCGTGCTCCATGTGCTGAAATTGTGGACTCAATTCACCAATTCGTTTTATCAACTTTTGCATTTAAGGAGCCGTATTGTTTCGCACCCGGTCTGTAGGACCTCCACAGAAGACAAGTTCCGAAAAGAAGGGTACGGCTGGGGCAAATTTATTGAACTCCGGTCTCCATTTGGATTATTTATTCACAAGTCTGCTTTTTGATGCTTTCTTCAGTAGTTTTGATTTTCAGCGCCCCTTGACGTTTGTCGTGGGTTTTTAACATGTTTTTCATATTAACCTGTTTTTGATCTGAAAAAAAAACCTTGTCTCTTGCTTGTGAATGTAAATTGTAAGTAGGTAACAAGACGTGATTTCTGCAATCTTAAGATCTTTTGATGAGCATATATATTGTTTAAATACTTACATTCTTATGGCTTTGTCACGCGTTCCTTCCCGAGGATTGCGTGATGAGCCAAAAGAACGTTTTCGTGGGAGGCTGTTTAAGTACTGGTGTTAATAGAATCTGCGTATGTGTTGTACTTTTCCCAGCACATCAGTTATTATGAAACTATAAATACGTATCTCGTGCCCATATGCATCTAACTAGGGTGTAAGAATCTTTTGTAAGGTAGAGCGGTTTTCACTTGACTGTCGAAAGTAATTGAGGAATTGGTTTGATTTTGGTTTTACTACGCCCTTTGGTTGGCTAGTGTATTTACTTTGGTTTTGGTTTTACGACAGTCAAGTGAAAACCGCTCTAATAACATGTTTTACTTGCAAAAATAGCTCCGTCATTTCAGCTTTTAATTTTTGTGCTTATTTATTCATTTATTTTTTTCTTTTTAGCTGTCTCTCGTTCCCAGTCCTGGGCAGTGAATCAGTGGCAAACAACAGTGAAAAAAGGTAAAAACGAGTAAGATTAACAAACTGTGTATTTAATTAGAAATTTTGAGAAATTGAACTTTCGTCAACTTCTTTTTATCCTGTTGTTTATCTGTTTACTTTTAAATTTCCACAGTTCTCACGGATGCGGACTCAGATGTGTTTGCAGATGGTAAACTAATTTTTAAAAGTTTTGAAACCGTCACTGGTCAAATGCGAGGCTTAGCCTTGAAAAACCTTCACAAAACATTTGTATGTCCAAAGATTTTGGACATACAGTATATTGCTTATCAATAGTCCTTTAACAGCTTTACAGCTCAAATATGTATGTGTCGTTTGAGAGCATTATATTTTATAACCGCGGACAGATTGTGAAGTTCAAATTTTGGTTAATTCGTACGATATATCGTAAGCATAAACATGAGCTCAAGTGGAAAGGACAGCTTTCGGTTAAATCTCTTCACGATGGTAAAGTTACATTATCAACTGGGTTGATAAAACTAAACTTTTTTGTTACGCTACGTGTAAACCAGCCCCCTTATCCGGGAAAGCTGAGAATTGAGTTTTTTGTCTTATGTGATGTTGAATACAAACTCGACCATTCACCATGTTTTTAAATTTGTTTTTAAAGGTTCAACCAATGTAAGCAAGCGTGCTAAACTAAAGAGAATGGTGCCGTCATTTATGTCCTCTCCTGTTTTCCAACCAGTTGCTTCAACATTGTGAGTAGACAACGCCATAACTGATTCGTACTCAGGCCCCACAGTAACAAAAAAAAAATAGAAAACGCAGAGGAATGGACAGTGCATCCTTCCCAGCAAACCACGCGCGCAGCGTAAGAGCAAGAACTATGCCGGTAGATGTTCTGATACAGCTATTTCGAGAAAGGTTGTCGGACAAAATGAGCACTCGACAATCCCGAAAGGCAATATGGGATATGATCAATACACGGTTCCTGACTACTGCAGCTGTGGAATCTACTTTTATTGCTTTCCTTTAGCACTCCCAGACATACGTCCATGGCCTCTCGTGCCATTCTTTCAAATTTCGTTGAAGAACAGTGAAATCAAAACCACCTACAATACCTTTCGGGATTGTCGCAGGCACTTTTTCCAAGAACCGTTCTCGAAAAAGCTGTATACAAATCAAATACCCGGCTGGTTATTTCACTGGAATACCCTCATTCGCTTACTGCTACATTTTGTTTTCCAGAGTTATTCCAGTTAATAACATCATTATGATTGTTTTTTTCAGTCCAAGCCATGAACACCACCTCCTCCCCCCTGGGGAGAAAGTTCTAGTGGTGGTGAGCGAAAAGGAGACCAGTTCCATAATTGCTTACACACTAAGGTGAGTGTTTAACACAGGGACGGTACTAAAAAGCATTCGCTGCTTTAGAAACGAGAAGGGAACTGGAGCCGAAATGTGTCCCACAATTGTTTCTGGGATGGTTACAGGGGACGCGCTGGTCTGCTATTGGTTAATTTTTATTTCCTGTCCCCGAAGTAACAGTCCCAGAAGTCAATGCAAAAGTTACCTAGGCCCAGTTTTTTTCTCGGTTCTTTGTTGGCGAATTATACCCGGATGTACTGTTTCTTTCTGAATTAATTGACCTTGCGCCAAGTTGGAACAGTTTAATTTTGGCGTTTTTGTGAGATTACATCAGAAGAGAGAGAATGTCTGCCTACAAGATTAAATGTCTGTTACATTTTGTCTTTGGCAGCACTACAGAATATAACGAACGACTCCACCAGATTCAACGGACTCTGTCAGACATCAAGAATGAAGCGACTCGAGAACTGCAGATGAGTAAAACGTAAGTATGGTTGGGGTGGGGGCGAGGGTGTAGTATAATTCAACGTTGCCACTCCCAAGGGTACTGGGGTCACAGTGCGAATCCTGGTGATGACACCAGTAGCAGTTAGGATAAAGGCGTCCATATTCGGCTTGATTATGAAGAAAGACATTTTTTTAAGTATCCAGTAGTTGATTTTGCCGTAAGATATGGTTTAAAGATTATTAAAGCGGTAAAAGAACTGAACCAAGTCTAAGTAAGATTTTTTCGTACGTTTTTTTTTTTTAAAGTTGAAGTGTTTGTTGATCCTTCAAACATAACAGTTTCGTGTCCAAGATTTTTCAAGTTTGTCATTTGTAATCAAATGTAATATCCTCTAACCAAAACCATCCATAATCTTTTGTAGTCAATTATTACGCCAGACTCCAACACCCCGCATTTTAAGTACGTGCTGCTCGCGCACCCTTGAAAAAGCCAATGCAGGACAAACTTTCATTTCAAGAGCGTTTTGTTGTAGCTAACCAAATGGCCTTATTCTCTTCTCAGTGAATTTGGTAAATCCGTGGAGGTTTCTGTGAATGGACGAACACAACAAGACGCTCCTTCTGGCAAATTTGTCCGAGTTAACTCCAATCCCGAGTCAGGTGAAGGTAAAAGTACAGTAGCTGGTTAAACCGGAACAAACAGTCTAAACCGGTTAGACATAAAGGAACAGGCTAAACAGGTTACAAAGCACGTAGCAGGCTAAGTTGGATAAACAACAAGGAACTTGGATTTTTCCAAAGAAAGGAATCTTAAGTTGCTGCACGACTGTCTTGTGTGTAAAATTAGATTTCATAAACAAACTCTCTTTTTATGCAATTAAATTTTCAGATTATGTGCATCTTGATATAGTCGATCCCGAGACAGCTCACGAGGCGGGAAACGATGGCGAAACCATAAATGTGAAGTCATCCGATAATCTCGACTTCATGAACAACAGCGTAGAGATAAAATTAGAACCTGATCATTACAGCAAAGTGGATAGAGTAAGATTCTCTAAAGTTAAACATGCTGCGGGTAAAGATGATACGAGGAAGACAGAAAATAGTTTGACTCAAGAAAGTCAACTCCAGGATGACATCGGTGAGTGATATCTTTATTGTTCTTGCGATCGTTAACTCTAGAACTTACCCTGGTACGGAGTGCAAATTGCTATGATGCTGTTTACTGTACCTTGCGTATTGTATCAAGCATCTCATATCCGAACACCGAGATTTCAAATAATATTTGAAACACAAAAAGGAGTGTTTGACCTGATATCCAAACTCCGAGAAGTAACATATCAAACACTAAAAGGAGTGTTTCAATCAATATCAAAACACCAAGAGCCATTATGGCTCTTGAAAA